ACCAACCCTTTATTTGAAAGAGGGCTAATATCCAGTATATATAAAGAACTAAAGAAGCTGAAAAGTAACAGACCAAGTAATCCAATTAAAAAATGGGGAACAGTGGGCTTTGCCCTCTTACATCATGTCACTAACCAAGTAAGCAGTGTTCTTCCAAATCCTCTGTTTCAGCTCCTGCCTATAGGTTCCTGCCTTCAGTCCCTGACCTGGATTCCTTCATGAGAGACTGCAACATGTAAGCAGAAATAAAACTTTCCCTCCCCCCCAAAAAAAATGGGGAACAGAGCTAAAAAGAGAATTCTCTGTAGAGGAATATCAAATGGCAGCGAAACACTTATAGAAATGTTCAACGTTATTATCCATCAGGGAAATACAAATCAAAACGACCCTGAGATTTCACCTTATACCCATCAGAATGGCCAAGATGAAAAACTCAAGTGACAAGACATGCTGGAGAGGTTGTGGAGAAAGGGGAACCCTCCTGCATTGAGGGTGGGAATGTAAACTGGTACAACCACTTTGGAAGTCAATCTGGCGCTTACTCAGACAATTAGGAATAACACTTTTCAAGACCCAGCTATATCAATGCTAGGTATATACCCAAAATTTGCTCAAGTACACAACAAGGACATTTGATCAACCATGTTTGTAGCAGCTTTATTTCTAATAGCCAGAACCTTGAAACAACCCAGATGTCCATCATCGAATGAATGGATACAGAAATTGTGGTATTTTTACACAATGGAATACTACTCAGCAATCAAAAATGAGGAAATCATGAAATTTGCAGGCAAATGGTGGGATCTAGAAAAGATCATTCTGAGTGAAGTATCCCAGAAGGAGAAAGACAAACATGGTATATACGCACTTATATAGACCTACAAGATATAATAAACATAATGAAGTCTATACACCTAATGATGATAAACAAGAAAGCAGATACGAGGTAAGATGATTAATCCTTACTTAGAAAGACAAATGATATGTGCATTGGACATATGACAGGAGTCTAATGCTGAAGGCATCTGAAAGAACCTACCAAGCAGCATTTCAAAACAGATACTATGTCTCATAACCAAACCTTCTGCAGAAGGTGAGTTAGTATGACAGGGAAAGGATAGGAGCTCCACAAGGACCAAATATATCTGGGCACAGGGTTTTTTTTTCTGAAACTGTTTCTCCAACCAAGGACCATGTATGGATATAACCTAGAACCTTTACTCTAAAGAATCTTGTTGTAGCTCAATAACTAATTGCTTTCCCATAGTAAGGGGAACAGGGACTATCTCTGACAGGAACTCAATGGCAAGCTCTTTGACTCCCCACCCCCCAAGCAAGGAGCAGTTCTGCTAGGCCACAGAGGAGGACTGATAAAACATATTCCTGATACAACAGGGTCAGAGGAAAGGGGAGGAAGTCCTCTCCTTCCGTGGACTTGGAAAGTGGCAGGGAGAAGCTGAGGGAGGGAGTGTGGGATTGGGAAGGAATAAGGGAGCAGGATACAGCTGGAATACAGAGTTAATTAAATGTAACTAATAATAACAAACAATAATAAATAAAGAAGTTAAACAGCAAAAAAATCAAGTAATCCAATTAAAAAATGGGATACAGAGCTAAACAGAGAATTCTCTGCACAGGAATATCGAATGGCAGAGAAACACTTACAGAAATGCTCAACCTCATTAGCCATCAGGGAAATGCAAATCAAGACGACCCTAAGATTTCACCATCCACCCATCAGAATGGCTAAGATAAAAAACTCAAGAGACAACACATGCTGCAGAAGTTGTGGAGAAAGGTGAACCCTCCTCCACTGCTGGTGGGAATGCAAACTTGTACAACCACTCTGGAAAGCAATCTGTAGCTTTCTCAGACAAGTAGGAATAGTGCTTCCTTAAGATCCAGCTATGCCACTCCTAGGCATATACCCAAAAGAGGCTCAAGTACACAATAAGGACATTTGCTCAACCATGTTTGTAGAAGCATTATTTGTAATAGTCAGAAGCTGAAAACAGCCCAGATGCCCCTCAGTGGAGGAATGGAGGTCCAAATGTGGTATATCTACACAATGGAATATTACTCAGCAATAAAAAACAAGGAAATCATGAAATTTGCAGGTAAATGGTGGGATCTGGAAAAGATCATCCTGAGTAAGCTATCCCAGAAGCAGAAAGATGCACACTGTATATACTCACTCATATAAACATATAATATAGGATAAACCCACTAATATCTGTACACCTTAAGAAACTAATCAAGAGGGAGGACTCTTGCTAAAATGCTCAATTCCTATCCAGAAAGGCAAAGAGGCTGGGCATCAGAAGAAGGAGAAAAGAGGGAACAAGTCAAGAGCCTGACACAGAGGACCTCTGAAAAGCTCTGCCCTGCAGATTGTCAATGCAGATGCTGAGACTTATGGCCAAACTTTGGGCAGAGTGCAGGGAATCTTAGGAAAGAAGTGGGAAACAGTAAGATCAGGAGAGGACAGGAACACCATAAGGAGAACAACAGAACCAAAAAAAAAAAAAATCTGAGCACAGGTGTCTTTCCTGAGAGTGCTATTCCAACCAAGGACTATGCATGGAGATAACCTAAGACCCCTGCACAGATGTAGCCCATGGCAGTTCAGTATCCAAGTGGTTTCCATTGTAATAGGAACAGGGACTGTCTCTGACATGAACTGATTAGCCTGCTTTTTGATTACCTCCCCCTGAGGGGGAAACAGCATTACCATGCCACAGAAAAAGACACTGCAGCCACTCCTGATGAGACCTAATTGACTGGGATCAGAAGAAAGGAAAAGAAGTCCTCTCCTATCAGTGGACTTGAGGAGGGGCATGCAGGCAGAGGGTGGAGGAAGGGAGGGATTGGGATGGGAGGAGGGAGGGAACCACGGGGGCGATACTAAGTGAGTAAAGTGCCTGTGTTAGCTCAGTAACCAATTGGTTTCCCATAGTGAGGGGAACAAAGACTATTTCTAACAGGAACTCAATGACTGGCTCTTTGACCTCCCCACCCCCCAACTGAGGAGCAGTCCTGTTAGGCCACAGAGGAGGGCTTCACAGCCAGTCCTGAAGATACCTGATAAAACAGGATCGGATCAATGGGGAGGAGGTCCCCCCCTATCAGTGGACTTGGAAAGGGGCACGGTGGAGATGAGGGAAGGAGGGTGGGATTGGGAGGGAATGAGGGAGTGGGACACAGCTGGGATACAGAGGTAATAAAATGTAACTGATAAAAAAATGGAGAACAGAACTAAACAGAGTATTCTCTGTAGAGGAATATAGAATGACAGAGAAACCTTTGTCCCTTCTAATCCCACCTTCAGTCTTCCCCACCCATGTCCCTCTCCCAGTCCACTGATAAGGGAGGTCCTCCTCCCCTTCCCTCTGATCCTAGTCTATCAGTTCTCATCAGGAGTGGATGCATTGTCTTCTTATGTGGCCTATTAAGACTGCTCCCTCTAGAGGGAGAGGTGATCAAAGAGCAGGTCATTCAGTTCCTGTCAGAGACAGACCCTGTCCACATTACTGTGAAACTTACTTGGATACTTAACTGCCATAGACTACCTCTGGCAGGGGTTCCAGACCATCTCCATGCATATGTCCTTGGCGGGATTATCAGTCTCAGAAGACCCCTTTGCCCAGACCTTTTGAATATGTTGCTGTCCTTGTGGAGCTCCTGTCTTCTCCAGGTCTTAATATCTACCACTTCTTTCATAAGATTCCCTGCACTCTCCCCTAGTTTGCCTGTAAGTCTCAGCATCTGCCTCTATACCCTGCAGGGTAGAGACTTTCAGAGACTTTCTGTGGTAGGCTCCTGCTCTGTTCCCTGTTTTCTCCCTCCTCTGATGTCCATCCTCTTTGCCTTTCTGAATAGGGATTGAGCATCTTAGCCAGAGTCCTCTTTCCTGATCAACTTCTTTAGGTGTACAGATTTTAGTATGTTTATCTTATATTATTTGTCTAATATCCACTCATGAGTGAGTATAAAACGTGTGATATAGCCCCATCTCCAAAAGACACATTTGGTATGTACTCACTTATAAGTAGATTTTAGGCATATAGTACAGGATAAGCTTACTATGAGGCTCAGACCCAAAAAAGATAAGTAACATAGAGGATCCAAGGGAGGATGCATATATCTCACTTGGAAGTGAAGATTGAATAGATAGAGGTAATGTCTGAAGAAAGGGAACAAGATAGGAGAGGGGGCACAGAGAGTTAAGATGGTGGAGAACAGACCTGGAAAGGACAAGGGTGAGAGGACAGGACTGTAGGGAAAAGATTAACTGAGAACGGGCATATATCTATGATTAGCTGGAGAACTAAGTCAGGGTAGGTTCATGGAAGAATGTACGGGTACTCAAGCAGAGACTCCTAGTAGCAGAGGCTATAAAGACTGAAGAAGACACCCACTAACTAGACTAGTCTCTTAGCAGAGGGAGACGAACACCAACCCATCTACAAAAACTTCGGCCAAAAATTTATTCTACCTACAAAACGTACAAGGATAAAGATAGGGCAGATAGAGCAGATATGGAGGAAATGCCCAACCAATACATGGCCCAATCCAAAACCCACCCTATTAAGGAGTGTCAACCCCTGATGTTATGAATGATGCTTTGCTATATTTGTAGACAAGAGTTTGACAGAGTTGTCCTCTGACAGGCACTTCACAGCAGCTCCTCAAAACAGATGCTAAGACTAAGAGCCAAACATTGAAGGAGTCTTGTGGAAAGGTGGGAGAGAAGGGAAAAGGACCTGGAGGTGACAGGGGCTCCACAGAAAAACAAACAAAACCAATTATCCCGAGCCCAGAGGGGCTGGTTGAGACTGAAGCATCAACCAATAAACATGCTTGAACTGGACTAGGTCCCCTATGAAGACGTAGCAGATGGGCAGCTTAGGCCTCTTATGGGTCCTTTATTAAGGGATGAGGTTGTTTCATTGGACAAGGACTCACATGCCATTTTTTTTTTTATTACTTTCCCCTTGCAGGTTTACATTGCCAGGCCACAGGGAAGGACAGGCTCAGTCCTGATTCAACTTGATGAGCTGGGAAGGATGGGAAAAGGATCTCCCCTTAGAGGTAGGAGAGAGTGGGAAGGGAAGGAGGGTAGGACTTGGGAGAAGAAGAAGGATGGGGCTACAGCAAATATGTAAAGTGAATAATATATTAATATGACCATTAATATTAATTATATATAATATAAATAATGGAATGTTAAGAACTCAACATTGACTGCATCCATAAAAGTGAAACACATCCAATATTTTATAATCTAATATAGATATCCAGCGTATTTTCTTCAGTATTAGTAAATCTTTGCATTTGCCTGGCTATAATATGTGACTCTAGGCTTTTGATGATATTGATAAAAATTACGGAAACAGTAAATTAAAGGCATGATAAAGACAGATGTGTTTATAATACCTGGCAAGAAGGTGCAGCAGAAAAATGTGTGCTGGAAAATGTTGGGTCTTTCAATGTTCCACATGCTAGAATAGCAGTATTTTGTTCAGTTGGAGTTTAATCCTAAATTAAAGTTTTGTGGAAGGAAAGAAATAGACTGCTTAATTTCTTCATCACTTTTATTGACAGATTGGTGACAGGGAAGGTTTTCTGGAAAATACCATTATTATTCTTTCTTTTCTTTTCTTTTTTCTTCTCTTTTCTTTTCTTTTTTCTTTTCCTCTCTTCTTTCTTTTTTCTTTCTTCTTTCTCTTTCTTTCTTTCTCTCTCTCTCCCTTTGTTTCTTTGTCTATTTCTTTGCTTCTTTATCTCTCTCTTTCTTTTTCTTTCTTTCTTTCTCTCTCTCTCTCTTTTCTAGTCACTTTACATCCCAATTGTAACCTTCTCCCTTCTCCCATTGTGCTCTCATGATTCCTTCTTCTTCCCCATCCTCCCTTACCTAATTCTCAGAAAAGGGAAGCCCCACCCCCCACCCCACTAAACCACCATGGCACATCAAGTCTCATCAGGACTGAGTGGCATCCTCCTTCACTAAGACCAGGCAAGGCAGCCCTGCCAGAGGGAACTGATCAAAAAGCAGGAAAAAGAGATTATGTTAGAGACAGCCCCAGCTCCTCTTACCAGGGGAATCACAGGAAGAGTAAACTGCCCACAAACTACATATTTGTAGGGGCCCTAGATCCAGACCAGGCATGGTCCTTGATGGGTGCTTTAGTCTCCAAAAGCCTCCCTTGTCCCTCTAGAGGTATACAAACCCTTTGGAAATCAATCTTGCATTTTCTCAGAAATTGTTTAGTAACTCTATCACAAGACACCATTCCTAGGTACATACCCAATCCATACTCCAGTGTAAAACAAGGACATTTGCTCAACCTGGAATGTACATTTAATATTTTGGTTGTCTACAATCTCCTGGTGACTTATTGGCTCATTGTTTCATTCAATTGTTAGAAATAATTATTCATTTAATGAGAGCATGCTAATGTTTTAGAGCTTCCATTGGTTTGTACAAAATAAAAATTAAACAATAAAATTACACTAAATTAAATTAATTCAAGAAATTGTAATTTCCATTAAAAATATAGCAGCATGTTGGGCATGAAAGAATGCCATGTTTGGCCATTATTGTGTCAGATGGTTTAAGTTATTTAATTTTTTGATTCGTGTAATAATTAGGATGTTCTAATACATTTTCACATTTTTAGAATATTTCTTTTTGGGCACATTTATTTGGTATAATCATAGTTTTTTTTTTGAGAGTAGATATCTATATTAATGGCTTGTATACCTCAACTGAATAATTAGATAGCAAACAATGAATTTAGAATCACATAACAGTGTTGTAATTATCAACATTTACTGATAATTTCTAACTGCAAAGACAAATTGCTGACATATGAGATTGGTTATAGATTGTTTAAATGTGGATATTTCATGCTTACTTTTATAATGATTTCATTTCTGCATCTTGTCATATCATATTTGAGGTTTGAGTTCAGTTGAATGCATACATGGTACCTGAGATCTAGCTTTCTCTCCCTGTGGTTTAAATATATTTAGAAATATGTTTAAATTTGCTCTTTTGTATGGTGGGTATTTCACTTATCTGGCCTTTTGAATTTAGTTTTAGGATTACCAGTGTAAGATACCCTCAACTACAAAAACTGAATACCTCCAAGTAGCAACAAAGTTATAATCATAAATAATTTCTGTGGCCTATGGTACTATCCATACCAACATTCTCATTAACATTGACTGTTTGATTAATGAGGAGAAACTACTGTAGTCAGGTAATTAGGGCCAGGACATTATTTTCTAAGTTTGGGACATTTATATTTTTTTTTTACTGATGTGGTTTTTTGTTTGTATAGTAAGGATCATACGACTTTAAAATAACTGAGATTTTAGTTTATTTTACTCATCAGATTAAAATACATTTTCAGTAAAGCATAATTGAAATTTTTAATTTAATATTATTTACATATTTATTTATTACAATTTATTCCCTTTGTATCCCCACTGCATCCCCTCCCTCATCACCTCCTATACCCACCCATGCTCCCACCCATGCTCCCTCTTCTTCTCCTATACCCTTTCCCTAATCACCTGATAGGGAGAACCTTTGCCCCTTCTATCTGATCCTAGCTTATCAGGTCTCATCGAAGCTGCCTGCATCATCTTTCTCTGTGGCCTGGAAAGACTGCAATCCCCTGGGGGAGGTAAACAAAGAGACAGTCACTGAGTTCATGTCAGAGACAGGCCTTGTACCCCTTACTAGGGAACCCATTTGGAAACTAAACCACCATTGGACTTCCTTTGAACAGGAGTCAAGGTCCTCTCCATGCATGGTCCATAGTCCATCAGTCTCTGCAGGCCGGCTCGGGCCCAGGTATTTGGCTCTGTTGTTGTCCTTGTGGAGTTCCTGACCCCTCCTGGTCTTTCTATCACTATCTTCTTTCATAAGGATTCCAGCACTCTGACCAAAGTTTGGCTATGTGTTTCAGTATCTCTTTTGATACCCTGGGGGAGGTGCAGTCTTTCAGAGGTTCTCTGTGGAAGGGTCCTACTGTCCTCTTCCTTGTCTTCTTCTACTTCTGATGTATATCTTGTTTTCCCTTCTGAATAAGGATTAAGAATCTTCCCTAGGATCCTATTTGTTGTTTAGCTTCTTTAGGATTATAGATTTTAGTATGTTTATCCTATATATATGCCGGAGAAGACAAGGAGAAAGAGGAACACTCCTTCATTGCTGGTGGGAATGTAACATTGTACAACCACTTTGGAAATCAATCTGGTGCTTTCTCAAAAAATTGGGAATAGTGCTACCTCAAGATCCAGATTACCACTCCTAGGCATATACCCAAAAGACGCTCCACAATTCAATAAGGACATTTGCTCAACTATGCTCATAGCAGCTTTATTTTTAATAGCCAGAATCAGGAAACAATTAAGATGTTCCTCAGTGGAGGAATGGATATAGAAATTGTGGTACATTTATACAATGGAATACCGCTAAGTAACTAAAAACAAGGAAATCATGTAATTTGCAGGCAAATTGTGGGAACTAGAAAAGACCATCCTGAGTGAGGTATTCCAGAAGCAGAAAGTCACACATAAGTACTCACTTATAAGTGCAGTTTTTTAAAAGAAGATACAATTGACATTCTAAATTAATAATCTTATTGTGTTTTCCAGACAAAGTTCTTATAATAAGATAAAGTAGTATCACCCTTTTTGTTGGAAAAGAAAATAGTCCAAATCAATTGAAAAACTCAGAAAAGTAAGAAGATTTTTGAAGACAGCACAGTCCAAACTTAAAATTACCCCATCGTCCAAGGAAGCAGTATTTTTGTTGTCTAAGAATATATCCCCGAAACACACAGAGGAAGTGACTCCTCTGACCGTTTTGCTTTGTCAGGTTGGGCTTGGGACTGTGTCCAACATACTTCTTTTTGTCCATAATTTCTCTCAATTCTTGACTTCCACCTGAGGCCCATACAGGTTGTTCTCACCAACTTGGCTGTAGCTAGTGCCTTGATCCTCCTCTTCTTTTCATTCTCAAACAATGAGGTGGTTTTGGTTCCAAGGAAGCCCCCAACTGATGTCAAATAAAAACTCGAATACTTCATTTGCCTGTTGGCTTGAAGCATAAAAATCTGCTCCACATGTATCCATCACATAACAGTTTGTCACTTTTTTAAAGCAAATATCTCTTTTTTCCTTCATTTATTTATTTTATTCACTTTACATCCTTATAGCCTCTTCCTGCCTCCCCTACCCGTCTCACCCTTTTTCCCTTTCTTCTCCTCCCTCCTCTTTTTACAGAAAAGGGGTGCTCCCTTACCCATCCACCCCAACTCATCAAGTTGCGTCAGGACTGAATGTGTCCTCTTCTCCTGTGGCCTGTGAAGGTAGTCCTGCCAGGGAAAAGTGACCTTAAAGGTAGCAAGTGAGTCAGTGTCCAATGCAATCCTTACCTCCCTTATTGCAGTACCCAGTTGAAGTCTAAGTTGCCCATCTACTACATCTTTGTAGGGCACATAGGTCCAGTTCATGCATGATCCTTGGTTGATGCTTCAGTCTCAGCAAGCCCCTATTATGTAAGTTTTAAATTTGATAAAAGTTAGTTTCTGGTGTAAACATTGTTGCTTACCTTCTAGAAACATATCGACAATGTATAGGATATTTATATGTCCATCATTTCTATGATGTAATGAACAAAGGTTATCTGTGATGTTTTCTCACAGTTAACTCCAAAGTTAATTCTATTAGATATCCAACCTGAGCAGGTTTGCTGTTCACACAGGTTTCCAGAAGTGAGAATTCACCAGTTCCCTACAGCAAACTTTCACTCAGTCACAAAGAATACTGCACACATTCTAGGTCAGAGAGAAAGGTTTCCATCATTTTGCATTGTGATAAAACCTAAACTGTGTGAGACTGAGCATATAGTTTCATATAAAGAAAAAAAACTAGTAGTTTTTATTTTTAATGGTGTATGATTTTGAGTTATTAATATTAAAATATAACAATTTTATATATTTTCCTATTATGCAAGAGAACTTTGTACTAGTTTGTAAAAATAGAATGATTCCCATCTCAATTGTGGGGAACAG